CGTTTACAACAAAATGAAACACAGACGGTAACTTTACAACAACGCTTAAGAGATCGAGAGCAAGAGATTACAGAACTGCGAACAAGAACGTTAAATCAAACCGAAAGAGAGCGAAGTTTTCGCCATTCGAATGAAACTGACATGCTTCCCTGGCAAATAAATCGAAACGAAATTCAAATGACGGATAATCCAGATAATTCTTTAGAAGTGGGAGCGTGGGGACGGGTAGTTCGAGGGAAATTTCGCCGTACTAAAGTTGCGGTTAAAGAAATTCACCAGGTACTTCTGAGTGACGAGAACAGTTATATCAGGGAGTCTTTTGAGGTAGAAGTTGGAATCGCTTCAAGATGTCGCCACCCCTGTTTACTTCAGTTTATTGGAGCATCAATTGATGCAGAGGGTCTTCTATTAATCACAGAGCTTATGGACCGTAGTCTACGATCGCTTTACGAAGAGCAGCCACTTCTCAAGAGAGAAGTCTGCATTATTTCGTTAGATGTTGTACAAGCTCTTAACTACCTACACAAGAGTTTGCCCCATCCCATTATTCACCGCGACATCAGCAGTGCGAATGTGCTGTTGTGGCGACAAAATGACCAATGGAGAGCCAAGGTATCAGATTATGGGAATGCTAACTATGTTCGTCAGAGTCGAAAAGACGGTCCTGGATCTGCGGTTTACAGCGCACCGGAGGCCACGGATGATTCAACTAAACAAAATATTAGCTGTAAGGTTAGCTGAATTCAACGAGTCTCGTATAAGCCATTATTATCCAACTATACTCCGTAGAGTACAAATAACGCTTAAGACGAGTGCAAATATCTCTCTCAAATCACCACTTGAAACAAATCAATAATAGTGCTAGCTATCGGCAACCTGCACCTCATTCAGGGGTTTCTTTTTGATCGTGTGAGTTTCTGTTCTTTGTTGCGTTTAATAATCAGATAGGCAATATTTGCGTATTAAGCGTCCTAAATGTGTTTCTCAGATTTCTCATCGGGTGACCCAAAACGATTAGTCACGAGCAAAACTAAGCCTCGAAAGATCATGTCAGCCGGAGTTGTGTAAACTTATAGCAGAATTGTATCCGTTTTGGAGGGCCTAGCTTTTACCACTAGTCTTCAAGACATTAGGAAAGGCTCTGCGATCTCTTGCCCTCTAGCATTGCTTGATTTTGAACCTAGGGGCTCAACTGGAAGTCACTATGAATTGTTTCAGTCTTGTACACAGGTGAGTAAGCAGTTTGTGTTTCGAAGTTTCGAAATTAACAATTTGTGCGCCTTTTCCGTTAAGGGTGAGAGTGGTTGAAGATGTTGTTTGGTTGGTTGGTTTTCAGGTTGACGTCTACAGTTTTGGTGTGCTCCTCTGCGAAATCTGTATTAGCGAATTTCCTGATCCTGAAAGGCGGCAAGAGCAAGTGACC